TCCATGATGAGGAGGGAGTAGTTCACCCTCGGGGCTGAGGGTATGTACCAGTAGCTATGTGTTTGATCTCTCTCTCTCGTGTTCTTGATTTGGCACGATCTTGATGTATCGCTAGCTTTGCTATTATAGTTGGATCCTATGATGTTTCTCCCCCTCTACTCTCTTGTAATGGATTGAGTTTTCCCTTTGAAGTTATCTTATCAGATTGTGTCTTTAAGGATTTGAGAACACTTGATGTATGGCTTGCCGTGCTTATCTGTGGTGACAATGGGATATTCACGTGATCTACTTGATGTATGTTTTGGTGATCAACTTGCGGGTTCCATGACCTTGGGAATCTATGCATAGGGGTTGGCACATGTTTTCGTCTTGACTCTCCGGTAGAAACTTTGGGGCACTTTTGAAGTACTTTGTGTTGGTTGAATAGATGAATCTGAGATTGTGTGATGCATATTGTATAATCATGCCCACGGATACTTGAGGTGACAATGGAGTATCTAGGTGACATTAGGGTTTTGGTTGATTTGTGTCTTAAGGTGTTATTATAGTATGAACTCTATGATAGATTGAACGGGAAGAATAGCTTCATGTTATTTTACTACGGACTCTTGAATAGATAGAACAGAAATGATAACTTTGAGGTGGTTTCATACCCTGCCATAATCTCTTCGTTTGTTCTCCGCTATTAGTACTTTGGAGTGACTCTTTGTTGCATGTTGAGGGATAGTTATATGATCCAATTATGTTATTATTGTTGAGAGAACTTGCACTAGTGAAAGTATGAACCTTAGGCCTTATTTCCTAGCATTGCAATACCGTTTGTGCTCACTTTTATCATTAGTTACCTTGCTGTTTTTATATTTTTAGATTAGAAATACCTATATCTACCATCCATATTGCACTTGTATCACCATCTCTTCGCCGAACTAGTGCACCTATACAATTTGCCATTGTATTGGGTGTGTTGGGGACACAAGAGACTCTTTGTTATTTGGTTGCAGGGTTGCTTGAGAGAGACCATCTTCATCCTACGCCTCCCACGGATTGATAAACCTTTGGTTATCCACTTGAGGGAAATTTGCTACTGTCCTACAAACCTCTGCACTTGGAGGCCCAACAACATCTACAAGAAGAACGTTGTGTAGTAGACATCAATGGTTAGTTGCATCTAGAGATAAACATGCCAAATATTTGAATAAGCCTTGAAGTGTATGTCAAGTCTTTGGAAGATCTTATTTTGAGTGCGTCGTGTTGGGAAACGTAGTAGAAAAAAAAAACAATCGACCTATGATCACCCAGGAACAATATGAAGATGCATTAACAATTTGGACTTGAACATTACCGACTCCGAGTTGCAGCGAAAGAAGAGGAGTCGGTGTAGATCATACTTGGAGTCCCTCGAACGTAGATGAATGATCCCGTGAACTGCGCACGAATAGTCCCTCGAATGGAAGACTGAAAGCACGACCTCTCTACGAGTTGCAAGTGTACATCTTCACGATCCGCTAGTGCTTTGCTCTCCAGAGCTAATCACCGCCGAAGAATTTGAGGGAGGGTATTAGAACCACATTGGGATTCTAATTATAAGGAATAGAGGATCTAGGTCAGGCTCTAATTGATCAACTAGAACCAACTAGAACTAGAACTAGTGAACTAGTGGAGGCTCCAAAACTTGTGTGCCCAAAAGGTGCAAACACCTCTAGTGTATATAGGTTGAGATGGGAGGAGGGGGCGCCACACAAGGGGAGGGATCCTCCCCCCTTGCGCCGGCCCTATGGGCTCCCCTCGTCCAATTCGGCCTCGGCGCCACCCCCTATTGGGCCTATATGGCCCAATTCTCCTTCCATCACTTGGCCTCTTAAGGCCCCTTGATATTAAATTAAATAAAAGCCTCCTAACAATTACTAGAGCCTTTTACTATTAATTTAACATCACCAGAAACATTTTTCACCTATATATGATTTATCGAAAATGCCTGGTATTGCCCGATAAACTCCGAAAACCTTCCGGTGACCCCAGAACTCTTCGAGTTCCTCTTGAAACTATTCCGAATATTAATGAAACAATTCCACAAATATATTCTCATTATTCCCGTCCCACTAACACTCAGTAGATCGTGATTATCTTAAGCTTGTGACCCTCTAGGTTCGGTAAAACATGGACATGAATGAAACCCAATCGTTCAATGACCGATAGCGGAACCATGAACGCCCATATCGATCCCTATGCATACACGAATAGACATTCGAGTGAATCTTTGGTTATCATGTGATGTTCCCTTTGCTTTGTGATACTTAAAAAAATCGAGGTGAGATGTATCAGTATTCTCTTGACTCATACACATGCTCACTATACCGTTCTCCTCATTACCGATTTTGTTCTTCTTTCTCGTTGACGTGTTCCAGCATCCCCATGACATATTCACCTATGTGTGGCCAGATGATGATGGATTATGGGTCATTGAAGGGGAAATAGAGGGACCGTATGTTAACAGAGGTGGGCTACTGATGACCCACAAGTATAGGGGATCAATCATAGTCCTTTCGATAAGTAAGAGTGTCAAACCCAACGAGGAACAGAAGGAAATGACAAGCGGTTTTTAGCGAGATATTCTCTACAAGTACTGAAAGTAGCAGTAACAGATAGTTTTGTAGCAAGGTAATTCATAACAAGTAACAAGTAGCAATAGTAACAAAGGTGCAGCATGGTGGCCCAATCCATTTTATAGTAAAGGACAAGTCGGAAAGTTCTCTTATATAAAGCAAAGCGTTCTCGAGGACACATGGAAATTATTGTCTAGTGACATTCATCATGTTTAGTTGATTCACGTTCGCTACTTTGATAATTTGATATGTGGGTGGACCAGTATAGCGCCTAAGATGCAGTTCTATCCCGACCACGTGATGAAATGATTGGGGCGGAATCGCATTTCGAGCGCATAGCAAGGTGGATATCATTACAACATACCATGTACTGAATATATGAGAATACCATATAAAAGCCTACACTCGCCACAAGCTACAACACGAATACATCAATACATCAATACATAGCAATCATTATATAGAAGAGTAGGATCCGACTATGGATGAAATCAAACAAAAAAGAAGAACGACAGCCACTCTGCTAATCCCAGGCTCCCGACCCGGAACCCATCCTATGATCAATGAGGAAGAAGAAGCAGAATAAGAACTCCAAACTGATCAAGCATCGATCTCACGTCTAATCATCGTACTTGTACCTGATGTTGTAGTAATTTGTGAGCGAGTTGCGGAGATCCAACAAATCTCACCCGTTGATTCTAAGTCTACGTCAGTTCGATGTTTAGGGCATGTTCGGTAGCCCGCTGGCTCCCAGCTTCCGCAAATATGCGAGCGGAGCTAGCCCGAATGGCCCAGCTCCAAGAAGCTAGCTTCCTGGAGCGGAGCGGCACGTACGTACAAAAAGTCGGAGCGCCGGTTTCGGCGATCTCAGAAATCAGGAATCTGGAGTTGGCTTTATTTACGAGCAGCTGCCACCGCGAAGTGAATCGAGGGGGTCACGTACTGATTCGCTACTTCTATCTCCCCTGTTCTCGTGTGTTCGCCTGGGCCTAAGGCCACCTTACCTGTTGAGCCGGCTGGGCTCCAGCCCACCTAGCCAGGTTGGCCTGCTAACACGTACGAGAAGCTGGAGCGAGGGACCGAACGAATTTCTGAGCGCTAGCGCTCGCGCCGGAAGCTGGCGATCCAAAAACGAAGCTGGATTTGTGGATTTACTGGAGTTGGAGAGCTGCCGAACAGGCCCTTAACGTTAACATGTTTAACATTCTCCACTAATTAATAGCATGCCTAATATCAATGTCAACATTGACCAAGTAATTATATCTTAAAATAACATTAGCATGCAATTTATATATTGTCTAATGGAGTACTAAATACAATTAATATCTTGTCTAATAGTAACCTGTACTCAAGTACTAGTACACAAGTAAACTAAAGGAAGAAGAGCGATTGGCCGGCAAACTTTTCCTGTGTGGGGGGTGAAAGAAATTTATCCCAAGATAATAGAGTTACAATCAAGATGCAAAAACTCCTCAATACATTATGGTTCTGTATGTAGCCGGCAAAACTTACCGTGGTGGCACCATGAAGTTCAATGCGCATCAACTTTCGAACAAAAGGTACTGAGCTTTGGACGCTAGGTTTAATGAACCGAAGGTCTTGTTGCACCGAACAAAGTGGTGCAGTGTTCCAGCTGTAGGTACAGACACACCCAAAGGCCATGATCGATGGCCCCGTAGGTCGTTGTTTGGTAGGTGCCACCAGCATCCAATGCAAAGCAGCAGTCGGCACTGCAGTTTCGCCATGCACCTTGTCCTCTCAGGAGGACGAATTGTGGCCTACGTGGTAATGTGGTTTGTCTGCTGAAATTAATTATGGCGCGCCACTTTGTGATCCATCACCCATGCATCGACGTGAAGGGAGTAAATCAATCGATCTCACAAGGACACGAGGTGGGTGGGTGGGTAGGTAGGTAGATACCCATGGGGATGAACAGGTTTAATTTGAAAATTTTGGTGCGAATCTAGCTCAGCAAAAGACGAAAGTGCCATTCTAATTCCTAGCTCAAACGTTCCACGTCCAAAGGCGGACACAGGAAATATACATGCGACTAAACCAATCATGCCTTTCCGAATGAGGCTTGATTGCCTCACTATTTTCTTCATTCTGGCACACGAACTGGGTCCGTGCACCGACAGAAATGAACAGCGAAGTAGAGAAGCACTTGTTAACAACAGTAGACATTGCATTACTCACACAGATTATTCATCCGTACGTAATATGTTTCACCACCATTCCACACCGGCAGCTAGATAGCTCATCCTTCAGCATAGTAGAAGTAGCAAATAGTAACGACGTCGTGCTAGCTTGCAGCACACAAGCAAGGAGCATTATACTCCTACCACATAGCGTATCTGACGGTCGCAAGCAAAAACAAACCCCTCGTATGCGTCTTACTCATGGATTGTACTGCCCGTTCTGGTTTTCCTGGTGGCCGCCGTCGTTCTGCTTCTCGGCCACCCCGTTGTCGTTGTCGTTCTCGTCTCCGGCAGCGTCGCCGTACCTCCGCTCGCGGCCGGGGCGGCCGTACCCGGAGCCGTTGTCCTCGGGCTCGGGGCGCGCCGTCCGCACCGGGTTGGACTCGTAGCCGTACCCGTACTTGTCGGTCTCCACGTCGTAGTAGTACCGGCCGTTCTGGTACAGCCTCGTGTCGCTCATCCCGTAGTAGTCGCGGTCGTGCTTGCCGCCGTGGCGCATGTACGACAGCGGCCGCCCCCTGCCGCTGCCGTCCGCGGGGAACGCCGGCTCCTCCTCGCCCGAGGATTGTTCTTCCTGCACCGGGACGGCCGCCTCCTCCCCGTGCCTCGGCTCTGTCTCCGGCACGACGTTGGTGGTCGTCAGCTTCTCGGCGTCGCGGTGCACGCCGCGGCGGAAGTAGGCCGGCGGGTACTTCTCGTTCTCCTCCGGGCGGCCGTAGAGACCGTAGCCGCGGTTGCTGGACGGCCGCGAGAATGCCGCCGGCGCGCTGTTGGTGTCGAGCCCCTCCGTCGCCACGGTGGCCGTGTCCGCCGCCTTGTCGGCCTCGACGACTGCCCCGGGGCGCGTCATCTTGCTGAAGAAGAAGCGGCCGCCCCACGCGTCGACGCGGGGTGCGGCGACGGCGAGGAGGAACGCGATGGCGAGAAGGCAGAGGCGGGAAGCAGAGGAAGCCATGGAAGCGTCGTGGTCGATCGTCGGTGGCACCGTGGCGGTAGGCGGCAACGCTGCAGCGCGGGCCGTGTGTGTTTGTCTGGTCTCCGTTCGCGCCCTCCCACTTGTATATATAGCCGTGCCGGTATGTGGCCGCTAGAGTCTGAGAGGCGTCGGATAATTGGACCGCTTTGGTAGCAAGCGATGGTAGATTGGAAAGGGCCGTGGCGATAGTCGATGCGCGGATTGCCACCCCCCACCTAAAATCAGGGGGGGGGAGATTAGATGCTTTGTGATTTGTGAATGCCACATGTCATCCATCAG